GAAGAGCAGCAGGATGAGAAAAACAGCATTGGAAATCAGTGCTAAGGGAGAGAACACCAGGAAGCTAAGGCGTATATGGAGATGGGTGCCCATGTCTCGGTGGCAACAGCTGCCAGAGCAGGACGGCAGAGGGCTGCAGCCCGCTAGCAAGAAAACAGTACAAAGTCAGAAAAAGAATGAGCGTTGGTCAGGACTTCTCAATTCAATGGGGGCTATTTTTTCCCTCCTCACTGTAAACTGCAGAACCATGTGCGGAGTTCAATAAAAAATTTATCAGGATCATCATAGGGCATTTTCTGGTCAGAATTGAAGCCAAATCCCATGACATCCCAAGCAGCAAACAACCCTGTGTTTAGGGAAAACTGAAAAGCATCTGGGGTCAAGCCTTATTGGCATGACTTGGAGCCAGAACGTTCCCACGGTGCCACCAGAGGCAGCCAATCTCTTTCTCTATGGAAAGGCTGAATTCCCTGTGATGGATGCTTTTACTGCTACCTAAGTCACAAAGAATTTACGAGTAATCTAGTAAGCAAGAATAATCACCCACCGTAGTCAATGCAAAAGATGTTTCAAGAGAAATATATTATGGATACAAATTCCTAAACATTTTCACCACTGCTGTTGTTCCTCTCTGCACTGGAAACCTTACAAAATGCTACTCCAATTTCTGGGAACCAAGGTGCCCCAGCTTTCTGGAACAAGGTTAGCATGGCTAGAATTGACTTCTCGTGGTTAAACCAGGAAAATAAAGTCAAGGGCAGCTCTCTAGTACGAACAAAACCTGGTTCATCCTTTGGGTGGACGGATGGTTCAGAAACCAGATGTCTAATCTGCTTTTTTTTTTACATTTCTCTTCTCCCATTTTTTGTGTCTGTGACTGGGGAGGTATCAGGCTTGGGCAGTCACCCCAACATGCTTCCCAGCACATGGATGGGCAGAACACACTCTCCGTCTGCCCATCTTGATCAAGCGGGCAGACCTCTACAGTCCACGTGCAGAAGCAAACGAGCCTACCAAATGTCTTAATGCTATCAAAGGGGAGGGAAATCTTTCCTCCCGCTTCTGCTCTCCTGGCCCTATACAGTCCTGATCTTCTCTTGAATCAGCTATGGCACTCAATAAAAGCTCCTCCAGAAGAAAATTATCTGGGTTTTTCTGCTCTATAGGTTTCTGCAGGTCTGTTGAGTTTTATCAGCTCACGGAGGGATCAAGCACCAGAGAGGGAAAACAGAAAGCAGGGGGAATACCTAGGGAGGAGCAGAGAGGAAAATCCCCAACAAGGGACACAAACCCGCATTACCGCTACTCCACAGCAAACGGGATGCTGTGTTCCGACTGGAGAGCCCCATATCGTCTGTAAACAAGCAAAGGCAGTTCCTGGATTTGAGGAGCTGTTTCAGTTGCAGTTCGCTTGTGTACTATGACCACTGCAGCCCTCCAGGAAAACTCTAAATCCTACCGTAATCACAGCTAGAGAACAGCACAGACTGTCTTTGCTTGTGATGCGCAACCTGGCAAGGGGGAGCTGCTACCAATTTCCCCAGTCAGAGACCCACCTTTAGCACTGTGGTGAGCAAGTACGGCACAGCATCCACCGCAACATGCATCTTTTGTAAAGACATAGGAGAGCCCAACATCCCTGTTGTACCATCAGAAATAATATGTTTGCAATAACTCCACACCCCGTGTCCTAGGATCACTGGGGAAATCTGGCAGCTCTGCTGGCAGTCTGGCCCCAGTGCTTGCATCAGGGAGGAACAGAAGGCAGAGCGTGCCATTTGGGAAGGGTATTTAAATATTAACCGATTACAAGAGCACCGGCAGTGCTTTCATCAGCACGCGTGCGGAAGACACACTGTACAGCAGGCAGAGTCTCATTTAATCTGAATTACGGAGTGAACATGCTTTTAATTACATCTTTAGCCAGGTACTCAGAGATTTTTCTCCTAACAACAAAAGGACAACTGTGGCCCAAGACTGTCGGTTATCGTTATACCAAGTTTTTACCAGCACTTACAGATTTCCACCTCTCCCTGTCACTTCCCTGCCTTTGTTTTTATTATAATTCCAGAAGAATCAGCAGAAGGGAAAGGTTGTTTGCTCTTTATTTTAGAACAGGTATCATCTCTTCTGTAGCATTTGCAATGCAAATGCTTCCACATTTTGCTAGCAGATGAGACTTAGGATCCTAACCAGGTCAATCTATCTACACTGCTCAAACAGATAAACCCAGGAGCTAAGCCCACTCATATTATGTATCTGCCCAGTGTTGACATGGGTTCACAAATAACTACAGAAAGGCAGAAAATTCCATTAAGAGTTATGGCAAAACTCTGTATAATCGAGTGTCAGTAGGAAGCTCAATAACTTGTTGTCATTTCAGATTATTTATATTGCCATAATCTGTGATAGCGTCTGCATAGTTACTTCAGAAATTTGTAGCTTCCTTATTGCCCACTGAGGAACACAAATATGTGAGAGGAAATAGCTCAAAACTAACAGCAATGAAAAATACTCAGGTAAAAGCTTTTTCTGTGGCTTTCCAAGGTACAGACAGTGGCATGCTGAAGCTTAACCCCCTAATGCTGATGATGCATATGGCAAAGTATTGGAAAATAAAATACAACCTGACCAACAGGGTTTTTGTGAAAGAGGACAGTAATGAAGATCGCACACAAGCCTGGGAAACCAGTGACCTAACCTCAGCTTTGCAATTGCTTCCTGAGGGCATCCCATCCCCTCTTTCTACTCTGCTGTTCCCTCTCTGTAATGTGTGGAGAAGGAGAGCAGAGCACTGCATCACCCCCAGGATATAGCAAGGATAATATTAACGGCTATGAGGTGCACAGATCATGAAAATAAAAAGCAGGTGAGTGATTGCTGAGTTAACCCTGTTCATGGGCTATTTGTAGAACCCCTAGCCAAAATCAACTCTGTTTTATTGAAACAGGTATGTGGGATATTGCCAAGAGTCTCCGTTGCAGGAGCCGCTAGCTGACACTGTCACTGGGACGTGGATGGCATAAAGCCCTTGAGTGAAACTGTACCCTATGGAAGTCAACACACATTTGCCAAAGACCCTTTCCCCATGCAGAAACACACGCAAAAAATAACCTCCAGCAGAAATTTCTTTTTTTTCCTACAATGCTGTCTGGGGCTTTTGGCTAGAGAATGTAATGACAACAGTGTCTGCCTTCAGAGGGTCTTTCCATCTTTCTGGTGCCTTCTCATCACCAGTCCACTCAGATATACCCAGTTTCCTTCATTGCTCAATAGCTGCAAGCCCCCCAGCAGCCTGCCGAGCAGTGTGGCCAACACCTGTGCTATGATGTTTATTCTCTTCAGCCTCTCCCCAGGAATTATTCCAGCCAAGGACATCAAACCACTATGCAAAACAGAGTTTAAAAGCTTCCCTCTGTGAAGAAGACATTATCATCCCTACCATTAACAAAGGGAAACCTGACGCAGAGAGCTGCATTTTTAAGAGAAGATATGCACTTATATAATATTCATATTTTGCCCCAAGCAACGAGAGGCTTTCAGGAGAGCCAGACAGAGGCCTCCATCTTCTGGTCACCAAACACGTTTGAATCCAGCACAAAGGAACAGGAGCCTGCAGGCTTCTGAGTTTTATTTTAAAACACAAGTATCATTCCAGCCAGCGTGGGCTGACCCCACTGTGGAATAAGGAAGATGAACTACCTAACTCAGCCCTGGCTCTGGTGCTCACTTTAAATCACGTGTCAGACAAGTACGGTCACGAAGCTTTCCTTTACAAAGCCTCTGACACGACAGGATGTCTGATGAATGGCTTTGATGGGTTATCGATCATGACCATTATTCCTGGACTGAAGGAACAGCAAAGTGCACGACATAGCCTTCCCCATGACCCTCTCTTGTAGCAGCACGTCTCCCAGTCCTCAAACAAAACTGCACTGCTGCCTCCCTGCTCCTACCCCCAGCATGTGCTTTGAGGACGGGGATTCTTAACAAAACAATAAAATTGAGCATGAACCTGTTCTTTGGAAAACATTTTTCTTTCTCTAGTAACTTAAAGAGAAAGAGCAAAGGTGCAGCCCTGAAGGGCTTTTACCACTCAGCAGCATTAACTCTTTTCTCTTCCCATGCTGCCAAGAGCCAGAAATAAATCTAGATCTTTATAGATCTATACAATCCAGATCACCTGGATGGGCTAAGAAGAAACTGTGTGCAAAATGAGGTGCCAAAGTCTAAGAGCTTGCAAACCATTAAGATGAGTCACGTTGTTAATTCCAGATCAAATTCCACAGATGCTGGGGACATTCCAGCTAGGCTTCAAACTTGGCAGCTTGATCTCTACAATGGCCCAAACCCAAAACTCATATGCAACAAACACCAAATCCTTGGCTGACCCTTGGGGTTTGAACATCAAGAGGCTAGTGTGTCCCCAAAATCCAGACGTTGGCTTCAACAGCTAAAGATTTAAAAAAAACCAACCAACAAAAAACCACCACCACCAAAAAAAAACCCCAAACAACAGAACAAAACAAAACCCTGAGATCTTTTAATTGCCTTTTGTTTGAGCTTCCCCTTTCTCCATGCTGCACAGTTACAGCAAATGCTTTATGAACACTTTGATGTCCAGCTCCAGCACTGAAGTATTTATACTGGCATCAGTGGGTTCCTGACGGGTTTTCAAGATGACGCAGGAGTAAGTGTTGGCTGCACAGGCCCAAGTCAGTATAATTACAGGGAGCTCACTTAACTCTTGGGTCTGGATTCAGAATCATCTCAATTAATGATGTTTCACCAGCCTATCCCCCATCCTACGGCTCTATAGTCTTATAGAAATACCCCTCTGCCAGGAAGGGACAGGGTAGGAAATGTGTGAAGGGGACAATGTACAGCGGGATGTATCACTCCATCTTCTCTTTTTCAGCTACACCCTCCCATAGTCCTAAAACCAACACATCTTCCCTTTTCATATCCAGGTGGAGACAAACAAGTCATTAGTGTCTTACCCTGATAAGACACCCAGCACCAAGTTGAGCATGAAGAAAGAGCCAATGATGATGAGAGGGATGAAGTAAAGCCAGTTCCAGGTATTTCCTGCAGCATCATTTGTCTAGAAACAAAGAAAAAGGGAGAGAGAAAAACAAATATTAATTCGCCTCAGAAACAAAATACCATACAGAAACTGCAGGGCAGAAGGCAGGGGAGATTCCCCTCAGATTTCCATAGGGCTGTCCACCACTGATGCACTGGTTAGTTCTGTTACGTTCACCAGCTGAAATGCCAGCAAAACAACTGATGAACCAAGCTGATTGTCCCACCATCCACACCACGTGTCGTCAGCTCCAGTGAGAAGATTCATCTCATTCCACAGCTCCAGGCTGACCCTGCTGCAGGGCAAAACCACGCTTTTAAGTGACCTACCCCTGTGCAGGCTTTCTACACCAGCCTCCTCCCTCCCCACCTCAACTCTGACTTCCCATGTGCTGAGCATCAGTGTCGTATTTACATCTGAATTGAGACACACAAGGACGGGAGGGAACCACAGCCTTCCGTTAATCCGTGCTGCAATTAAGGCAGAGCATGGCACCGTGCCCAGAATCTGTGCATACACACAGAGCAGGAGAAGACAAGAAGTCTGCAAGAAAACGAGGCAACTTCAGAGTGATTGCAATTCCACATCTGCTTACTCAGCATTTTGGGCTTCTGTCATCAAAACCCATCTGAAGCTCCCTGAGTAAGCAGCAGTCTAGATTAAGGGGAGGGAAGGGTGGTTTAGTTTATGACAAAGTTTCTGCATTCATCAACCACAAGGGAGCTCTTTAAGGAGCTGCTGAAAAGTAAAATGCCACATGGCCATTTATTGAAACCAAGTGCCGAGAAAAATGCAAATTCTTCTCTTGTGAGTGAAGAAAGCAGCAATTTGAGAATCTGATGGCAGGTGTGAGGGAGGGGAAAAGGGAAGCAAAAAGAAAAGACCCAAAGACATTCTCCTCCTCCTCCCTCCTCCTGCAGAGGGTAAAGAATAACAGAAACACAGACCTCACCTACCTGCCCAACCGCAGAGGCTGGCAGAGACCGCAGAGAAGCACTCTCAAACACCAACTTGCAAAAAATGCATTAATTCTAACTGATACTGATGCCTTTTACTTATTATCTGTGGTGCTTTTTGGTCACTATTCCCAATCATATTTGCAAGTGTAATTTTGCTTCCAGAAGGATTCACAGAAAGTATTGTTTTAAATATGCTTTATTTCAGCCACGCATGCACTTGAAGCCACCTCAAAATGTCTCTGCACGAGTAGAAGTCATCCAATAAACAAGCAAAACCAGCATGTGCTGTGGGTGACCGATGTCACAGCACTTCTTACAGGTAGTAACATTTATAGCACTGATGCAAGTAAATACCTTCTGAGATATTTTTAACATGGTGCATATCTGCACAAAGTCTTCCTCAAGGAACGTGCTCCGGATCAAACACATGACAAGCATTTCTCCAAATAGCAAACATCTTCAGAAACATCTATGTCAGTTGATCAGTGACTCAGCCGAGAGGCACAGGGACTAACTAACCTCGCCACAAACCACCCCTGCTAAAGGCAAAACCAGCGCGTGACAGACAAATGAATCCGAAAAGAAAACAGGCTGGGAAAATGAGAGCAGAAAGACAGGGAAAACTCTGTGCAGCCCAATCTCTCACTATGGTTTTTTAATGCCTTTTGCAATACCTGTCATCCCACCCCAGCAGCGCCACTGCTTCGCTCACTCTTTTGTCTTTCCATCCCTCTCTCTCTGCTTTTAGCTATTTCCTTTCCCTGTTCTCCTGCCCCGCGTCTCTACAGATGGGTTTGGAGGAAACAAGGACACTCGTCCTCACAGCTTCTTCCCCAACGCGTGGGGAAAGTGCCGGGTACAGCCCCAGCCTGCTCTCCTGGGACTACCAGAGCAAACCCCATGTTCTTATATTTAGAGGCTATTCTTCAATTCTCATTTTGTCGACCGAGGTAGCAGCCCTCACGTCTCTGGTCGGAGCAAACGCATCCCATTCAGCAAGGCTAGGGACTGCCATCAGCCAGGCAAGGGGGGCTGGAGAGCCAGCCCACAAGGAAGAGCTGGAGGAAGGGAACAGATGGGAGAAGGGAAACCACATAAACATGCAAAGAGAGTGCAGCAGGTTCATTGCTGCCAAATGATCGTTTATCATTTATTTATTCATTTGAAGCCCAAACTTGGCGACAAATCCACAATTCCATGCCACGATCAAAGCCCTTAAAAATGAAATGTGCTGAAATACAACTAATTAACCACCCTCCTCTGAGCATTTGCTAGAGTACCTTATGCTCAGGGCAGGGCAGGGACTCGCTCTGTTTGCTCTGCCTCGCACACAGGGATCCAGGACAAATAGAGGTCAAAACATCAGGCAAAAGGGTCAACAGAGAACTCTCCCGAGAAAGCAGAGCCTTCACGGACATGCAGCATCTTTCCCAGTGCTCCCAAGCATGCTTGAACCTAATCACAATTTATGGCACCGGCTCTGCCATGGTGAGATGCTTTAATGAATCAAAGCTGTTGGCTGCCAGGAAAACCGAACTCCTTTCCTCCAGGGAAAGCCCCCGGAGTCCCGCAGACACCTCTGGCTGTGCTGAGCAGAGGAGGCAGCCCTCCACCCGCAGAGCCAGTGGGGCTTGGGCTGTGGCCCGGCTCCAGGCTTGCTCATTAAGCAGGATGAGCCAAGAGATCAAATCAATTTTTATGTTCCAGCTAAAACATTTCACTGGTGTAACGCCCGGCTGACTGTCAGTGCTACTTGAGCCTAACCACAGGTCTAACCCGACAGGGAAGAAGGAGAAATGAAATACTTGCCACGATGTGCCAGAATTACACCCAAATACAGTAAGGGCTTACGGGAGGGCTCCCTCACCGCTCAGGAGCCGAGGAACCCGCTGGTTAGTAACAGCTGCAGGGCTCTTCCCTGAACAGTGCCCACAGCAAGCTGAAGCCTTGCTCCAGGAGTGCCCCGGGCACCGGCATCGAACAGCTCACGTCCCTTAAACTTGACAGCACAAGACTCCCACAGGCAAGGTGCCGCACAGCGGGAAACTGAGGCACAGGAAGTCTAAGGGACACTTTCAGGGTCACAGCGGAGACCCAGAGATCTGTGCCTCAGGCATCTAAAGCCCATACAAACTGTCCAGCCCTTGGAGCGCTCTTCCCAACAAGCCCAGCTGCCACGGCTCCCTCTGCCTACCCTCTGCTCAGCTCCAAGCTTATTCACAGCTGGTGCCTCCTTTTCCCTTCTTTTTTTTTTTTTTGGTAAAAGTGTAACCTAAATCCCCAACAGCATCCTTCTAGCCTCTACCATGTGACTCTGCTTCATCATCCACTCTGGAGCCTGATGCCACTGCTCAG